GAGCACGACTGGGTCACCAACTGTAGTTCTGCTCTTACCAAGAGGTCGACCGACCTTCACAGACACACAGCATTGTATGTTGTCAGGTAGTGGCACCCGTGCGGTGTCGTTGCCTGTCGGTGCCATCACGGTTGGCTTGCGATGGTTGCAATTGTTGCAGTGTATTAATAAAACTACCACGTTTTATATCAGCCAATGACAGAACACTGGGATAGCTTTCGTTTTAGATGGTGGTGCAATTCGATTTAGGTTAAAACGTCGGACGTTTTAGAAGCTAAAAACACGGGCAAAAAATGTGAAAAGCACAATACTGTACTGGTACTTCATACCAGTAGTAGTCGTTTCGTTCAGTATAAAGGAAATCTCGTCCATCCTATTAATAGTGGTTAATTTTGAACTTGTGCGACATTGCAAAAAAAACGATGTCGCGCAAGTTCAAAATTGATACTTTATCCGGAAATGGTTATTATTGGAGTCCCCATCTGTCTACCAAGGTACTTCACCCGTTCGATGACCGCAACAATGCCCCAACTTCGGCTTCAGTGGGCTACATCCGTCACCTCTCCATGACGCTCATCCATGTGTTCTAGGCTCCACGTCCACGTGCGCAAGTTTGACATCTCGTGCGACCCGCACAAGCCCGCTGCAGTCCTCGTCGCCTATGCAAGGGCCTTGTCAGCAAGCCATCCTCCCGCCATCCCACTCGAAGGGCTGTTCAACAAGTCTCGGCAATGCGGTAACTAGGTGCATACAACATGCGTTCAGTGGATAGCCATGTGTGTGGCTTATTGCTTTTAGTGGTGGACTTGCGGGATCCTATTCACATGAGCATTGGGCCCCATGACGACGTCGAGGCCATGTCAGCGTTACTCGTGCCAGATGAGTCCTTCACCGACCACCTGCCTTTTGCGTGTCCCACCAACAACAGCGACCGCCGGTTCCTCCAGCAGCTACGGGCGCTGGACGTGATGGGGCAGCCGCTTACTCGAGTGGCCTCGTGCCAAGAGCGAGCCGTGAAGCGAGATGCTTCGAGATTCGTGGCGCTGATGCATTTGTATTTTACCACTCCATTTGACGACCAGGGCGCGTTTATACCCCCCCCAAAGGCACTGGGGAAAGATGTCGCGCCCCCCCCCCAGAGAGGACTTCTAGAGGTCGAAGCACACAACAGTGTTCGACCACCGAATGCTCCAAGTGCCAACTCGAGGTTGGCCACAGAACCAGTCGCGGTGTCACTGGTGTCCAGAAAACCTCGCGGCGACACTTCAACTGTTGCCGTGGTAGTCGACGCCGAATTTGACGTTGTGTTTACGCAACACGCGGTTGGGCTCAAGCTGGCGTACGTTGTGCCACGTCAGAGTGTGCAATTTCTCACCGTTAAAGTAGCATGGACACCCACCGAAAGTTCCCCACCGTTCGAGAATGCCTCCCCGATTTGGAAGCCAGTCAGTACCCCACGATTGTCCCCGGCGTGGTCGTTCTGGCTGTGAACGGTACAGGGTTACTACATTAAGTGTTGACATATGGTGCTGAGTGAATTGTGATTGTAGGCAAATCTGTCGTGTCCATTGGACTCAGGCGAACACTCACCGCCTTGCGCGAAGCCGCCCGACCGGCCGTTGTTCGGTTTGGTCACCTCAAACCGGCCACTGTGTCGACTTCGAGGCACGATGTGTTGTAGCCAAAATGTTAATTTGTACTACTAATAACGTTACGTAGTTCCGTGCGTGTCACCTGAAACCTGTAATTTCTGCGCAATGGCTCCATTCAGGAAATGATAAAGTGTTAGAGGTTACTGTTTTAGAGGATATCGTACAGCATATCAGAGGTTTTGGTAAAATAACCGTCCATGACGCTATCGGGTGCAGGAGGCATTAATTATCCAGTACCACAATACAACTTATCCGGTCAAATTTGGTTCTCAGTAGCGGTTTTGGGCCTCATCAACGTTTGTACGTATTAATACTGTCCTTTTCGTTGAAATTTCGACTTGACAGCTGATTCGAGAATCGATTTGAGGCAGATTTTATGTATTACTAGTATTCTCAAGTAACATTATATTTGTCAAGTTCATTCGAAGGTCCAAATTCGAACAGATTTGACAATATTGTGCTTTTCATGTAATTTGCCCGTTGTTTAACTGCGTTTCATCAAGTTTCTCGTAACGTTAGTACTTTGAAGTATGTATAACAACCAGACTTTTAAAATAATATAAGCTCGATTGAAGATAAAACAACGCTAAACTTAAGTTAAGCATTTCAGCAGAATAAAACACCGCTTACTTTTTTCAGCCGCTAAGTAATCGAGTTGCAGCACCAGACCAACTTATGCAGCGCAACCACCAGTTCATCACGATGCATACCGTATTAGGATGTGAAATGGGAGTACTATACTTCGTGTAGTCGTAGTTCACCCTTGCTTTCCACGTACAGTATAACGTTAGTACAGATCAAGTGTTGTACTGTAGGTACGGCATAACGTTAGCTTTGAATCATTGGACAGAGCGACGACTATACGCATAGCCCAACTATATCCCTAACGTTATAAATTACTCGGAGTAGTTAATGTTGTAGTGATCACGGATGGGAGGTCATGTGTGGCCATAGCTGCTTCGTTTCATTGCGGCAAGCACCTTGACGTGTTGACGTAAAGCAAGTTGTTTGCCCAGAATCAAAACGGCAAACAACTTGTGTCATGAAAGTGCCTGTAAAACTCACCTTCAGCCAACCAAGCATGACATTAGACGAAGTTACTTTAAACAACGCACCCAACGTTATTCAAGTTACTTTAGACGTTATGAGAAATCTTTAAACAATGAATTTAACCCTGGAATTGCCAAAAAAGGTGCAATGCACAATACCTACTACAGTACTGTAACGTTACTGTTACTGTATTCTTACAGCTATACTACTACAGTACGTAGTATTAATAACAGTTAGTACTGCACTTATTGTCGATTTGATACAAATTTGGGGAGGGGGTGCAATCGAATCGCGCCGACCAAACCGATCCACGATCTGATTGGTTGAATTTCATTGAGAAGGTTTTGATTGGCTAATAATTTTGAGCTACTCTGAGGTAGCCAATCAAATCGATTTAAATTCCAACGAGAAACCATGCCACAAAACGAAATTTCACTCGAAAGCAGAATATCTTGAACTGCATTATTGGCTTTGTACACCATACTGCGTATTTCAGCCGTATCGCTTGCATGTTGCATGCATCCCACGTTGACAAATTCTCGAGTATTGTAGTCCTACGTACAGTACTGTACATACTACCATGCAACACCCAATTTGCAATACAATAAAAAATCCTGGTTGGTGTTCACAATATCGTTACCAGTTGTTCGCGTTTGTTCATACAGTATCAACTCATTTACTTCACCTTTGCTTCTTCGACATCTTCCTGGGGCGTCGGGCTTTCCGAGCTCAACGGGACCTTCTCCAGCTGCGCCTCTTCGTCATCTATGTCCGTTGATCGTTGTCTTCTCTTTCGACACAACAGCGTCGCCACGCCCACCAGGACGAGCGCACTGATGGCGCCCGCGGCCAGGGCGACCCCCGCCACTTTGGTTTTGTCTTGGACGATGTCGTGCATCACGCCTTGAGCCATCGACGACAAACTCGTTTCGTTGGTTGGGGGGCGGACGTAGTGCAGCGGTTGCGCATCAAAGCGCGCTTTTTCATGGGGGGACTCACACACCCCGACCCCCGACTTGGCGTCGACCGTGAGCCAGTTGATCAAGACCCCCCATCGATCCTCCCACCCACACTCGGTGAGTCGCAGCGCCGGGGCTTTGTCTGTGACACTGTTCGGTGGCTCCAACAAGAGCGAAAACTTGCCAGCCAGCGCCACGAGATCCCGCAGCCGACAGTCGGCGTGTGCGACAACGTGATATGTGCCGTTCCAAGTCTCGACAAACACAGGTTCGGCTTTAAACAATGTGCACACGTCGTAGTTATCGCGGTAGTGCGCAAACGCGTCGTTCATGGCAGCCCACACATGTTCTGGGGCGGACGGGACGACTTGCCAGCCAAGTTCGGGGGGTGGAATCGTGATCGTTGTTGGAGCCGCCGTCGGGTGACTGGAAGGGGGGGTATGGTATTTGAGTGGGGGGGTGGCTGGTGATGGCGACGTTGTCGCATGAAATGTGGTAGCTGGGAGGGTGGAGCTATGGGGTTTGGTCCATTCCGGAGTGTTGGCCGGTGGATGCTTCTTGGTGTGACGTGGCGAGGTGTCTGGCGTTGTGGAAGGATGAGATGGGGCAACGATCGTGGCATCGGACAACGACGAGTTAACTGGCGCGGACGACGCATTGGTGGAATTGATGCTGGCAAGATGGAGTCGGCCTATTGGTGGCGAAGTGGTTGACCGAACTGAGGACGGGTGGACCACGATGGTAGCGTCGTGAGTTGCGATGCCACCGGTCGAAGGCGGCGGCGGGATTGGCGTCGCAAATAACACGACGGCGAACGACTCGTCGTCGACGTCGTCCTCATCTTCATAATCGTTCTCGTTGTCATCAAGATCGTCGTCGACTAGGTCCCCGGGACACGGGTCGAACTTGCAGTGGAGTTCCTTGTTGCGGTAGACTTTCGTTCCGTCGTCGCACACTTGGTGGTCACGCTTGCAATGTTTGCTCTTCTTCGCCATGTCCTCTGCATCCACGCCAGACAAGGCCACCAACGCCACCACCGTCATCAGCTTGACCCAGCTTAGCATTATTTGTCGTGCCAGCAATGAAAAATGCAACGTGGTTGTCGTTGGCGCGACCTGATTCGGAAGTGTTATTATCCGGTTGGGAGAGTTTGGACAAGGCAAATCCGGATAAATGTTGCTTTCTGATTGGACGTGGCCATGCGACGACTTTATCGGTCGAAATATTTAGGGTGCATCTGTTACTGTACAGATAACGACGGAAATAATTGCCAAATGGTACTCTTCAAATACTACGAAGTACTACGTAGTATCTATCAATTTGTATGATCAATATTATTTTACAAATCGAGTACTACTCTGTATTTTAATTGTAACCTGCATCGAAGTGTCACAGAAATGACGTCGGATTGGCCAATTTTCAACCAATTGGAGACTTCAAAACTAAACGACGACGACGACGGCAAAGTGTCAAAATATCAAATCAATTTCGTCCGCCAAAATACCGTAAAACACACACCGATTGAAATCACACACATCAACCTACAGGTACATACTGTACATGGAATTAACATGCCTTTCACAAACTGTGATGTTATCGTTGACATCTTAAGAACCTAGGCTCTCATGTTGCACGCATGTTGATCTCCTCCTGGCAGAACTGACGGTTTTTGTTATATCCTTGTATTCGCTGTGCCGTATACTGTACTATGTACTAGTACAGTCAACGACAGATTTTAGGGAACACCCGAAGTTTCCTAACATATGGGAAATTGTAGCCAATCAAATGGGAAATTATAACCAATCAAATTAAAAAAAAGAGCATTAATCTAACATGATTGGCCAAAACCAACTCTGGCGCGAAAACATTTAAAATTCGCGGGCACTTGGCAGTCATGACTCGACACCAGTCACTTTGAGATATGCCACCAAAGGACCGCGACAAAATCAGCCCCAAGAAGAAGCCACGTCAGCGGTATACGCACGCCGTAAAGCTCGCTGTGGTCTTCCAAATGCACACAGCATCCACCCGCGACCTCGAGGCAGCAACTGGCATTCCAAAGAGCTGCGTTGCCCGATGGATGCAGCAGGCGACTCAACTCCTCCTTGCTGACGGCCCACTCAAGCGTTACAACCTCAGTGGTGCTGGCCGCCCTGAAGAGATCCCCGACACGGCTGCTCTTGTCGCCTACGTGCACAAGTTTCGTGCTGCCGAGCATGCTGTCACATGTACTCACCTAGTAAACTTCCTCAAGCGCCACCACCGACCGTGGCTTGACGTGTACCTAGCCACCAAGAAAGCCGGGTACCCCTCCCTGCTGCGTCTGCTGCAGCAATGTTGTCACCGCCACGGATTCACAGGCCAGAAGGCCGCTAGGTCCAAGAAAACATAAGCTGACCTTGAAGCCATCCGCGCTGAATTCGCAGCAGACTACCACAAGGCCTTCGACGGCTTCAGCCCGGACACGGTCATCAATGTTGATGAAACTGGCATGACGTATGACATGCCACCGCATGCCATTTGGTCAGTTCGAGGTGGTTCGGCCAAAATCGCCGCTGGTGAGAAGAACTCATATCGCATGACTGCTGTTCTGGCAGTGCGAGCGAATGGTGAGAAGCTTCCAATTCAGTATGTCATGCGAGGCAAGAAGGGCGGCGCCATTGAGAAGACTGAGTTTGATGGATTTCCTATTGCCCATCACTATGCCGTTCAAGAGAAGGCCTGGATGGACTCACGTATTTGGCCGATTTACCTGCGACAACTTCTCAAGCCACAAGTCCGAGAGCCTTCGGTACTGTTGCTTGACAATTTCGACCCCCATGTAAGCAAGGAAGGACGCAAGATTGCAAGCGAAGAAGCTGGATGCATTGTTGCGGCCATCCCTCCCAATGCAACAAGCCATGTGCAGCCATTGGATGTAGGTATTATGGCCCCTTTCAAGCGTCATTTGCGGAACTTGTGGCTTGAGGAAGAACTCATAGAAGGTAGTGATAGCGAGGAGGATGTAGATCTCATGACTGTCCCGGCGCAAAAAAAGCGTCTAGCTATGATTCATCGTGCCATTAAGGCATTTGGACGTATTACGCCGGAAGAAATCTGTCGTAGTTTTGCCAAAGCTATTCCAAAGCAATAAATATGTTTTCTCCAATCATTAGTTTAATTTACGAAAAATGGAAAAAATTCGACGGGCCCGGGACTCGAAACCGGGGCTCACTCAAGCACACAACGTGTTTTACCACTGCGCTATCGCGTCAAACGCTTATCTTTATGTGTTGTCCATCGATACAGCTAATTTAAAATATAGGATGTGTTTGACTGTGAAATTCTGCAAATTGACTTGCTCTTGTCTGGTTGGCCACAAACTCGAACGAATTTCGAAGTACTTCGTCCAATGATCTTCCGTCATTATCAGAAATTCGAAGTACAGGGTGTCCCCTAAAATCTGTCGTTGACTGTACTCGATATACAGTACAGTACCGGTACCTGCATCCGATGTTCTAGAAAGGTACTATTTCTGTCCTTCTCAACAACAGCCCAGTACTTGAATTGATTTGCATGCTATATATTTCGATCAAGGGAGGTTAAAATATATTCGACATGATTTCTCTTACAAACAACAAGTTCAAATGACCATTGATTTGGGCGTCAGCTGTTTTAACTTCAAGTACCCACGGATAGATATTTAAACTTGGATAGGTATTACATGCCTATCTGATATTGTACTTACCACTTATCGCCGCGATCTGACTCTGACACCTTGTCTACAGGTAGCCAATTAGAGTCTGAAGAGCTTCCCAATAATTACGGTACCGGACCGGTACTGTACGCGTAAGCTCTTCAATATAATTACTTAAGTATGTAAGTATGCACTGATTGACCCTTTGCCGACTTCTCGCGCAGATTCTATTGATGCGATTAGAGACTTTTAGCAAGTGCTAAATGTGAGTAGTTTACATACTTTATACTTCGTTCGATTTTATCGATGTCTGAAGTTGGAAGTTTAAAGAATTCAGATTTAGCAAGTCTGAAAAGTAAATCTCGACACACCAAGCCAACACCATTCATTATTCCTTCTCCTGTTCTTAGTCTGTGCCTACCGGTATGACGTTATTGCGCGCAATTCAACGAGAGACACATAAGGGCGTGTAGAATGTGGATTTGTGTATCATGTGCGACGTTATAAAACGATAGTCATCAAACGCTTTGGACTGTTGGGACTCGGACTAGCTCAGCGGTCCTAATGCCCGCTGCTTTCGAAGTTTGAGGATCTTGAGTCAAGATTCTCCTCTGTTTGGCCGTCAAGTATCATGGCGACCAAACACAGGTTTACGTAGTCAGGACCGAGCTCACCGCCCGTCGTCCATGCCTTGGCATAGGGTGATCAGGCGGCAATCATCGGCGGCTTGGTGCGCGGCGGCAGGGAGTATACTGTGATGTGCAGCCCTGAGCTACAAATTCAGACTAGCGTCCTGCATCACTGTACATACCCGCGCTTGTGCACTATCCTAACACTACATAGTCTTAACTACCCATGCGTCGGCTGAAGCGAGTCGGAGCATGTTGGAGATTTTGGCAAGCAAACCTCAATAGAGAAATTTGATTGGCTCGGAAAGTAGTCAGATGTCTGCGGACTTCGAGGCCAAAAGTGTGACTGTTTCCGAGCAAAGTCTGCAAGCTTCGAAGTTCGAATCGAAGTTTAAGTCTGGAAAGTCAAGATTTCTCACTTGCTAAAAGTCTCTATTATAGCGTTCTATAATCTACATTAAACAGTCAATCGTTGAGCATTTGGTAACTGGGGACGAGTATACTCACAATTAATTACTTGTTTCTGTTGGATATTATGAATATACGGGTGGTCGTGATACAGAATAATTGCTATTTTCTATTATTTGTTGATAAGAAGTTGACATTACATCATGCGTGCCGTCGTGGTGAAAATAGTCACCGATTGGCCAGAATGTGTGAAATTATCCAAATTTCAAGTGATTGCGTTTGGATATTAATATTCCGAAATTCTGCGTAGTACCACTTGGCAATTATTTCCGTCGTTATCTGTAACATTTCAAAAACAATACTCCCGGAGTACTACGTTGTACTAACATTTGACATCTCCATAGGTATTACTGAAAGTAAAGTGGTTGGACGCATTCGACGTCGACGGCATTTTGCACGTGTGAGAATGGTATTGTAGTTAGCGGGTACTATAAAGAACTAGTTTATCAGTTGTTCTACACTCTGCGTAGCCTCAGAGGTATGAACGGAGCAGGGCTGACTGGTTAGCGGTTGGGGCAAACATACTTGCTACAAACAAATTGTTTCGTAAAGTAGTGCTAGTTCAGTGAAACTCCTGATGAATTCTTGTATATTTCAACGAATTCTTCCAGGGATATGAACATCACTAAATCGTGAAGGTAGTCACTATCCTTCTAAAGAACAAACTCCATTGGATTGCTACTTGCCAAAACCTGAGCAAGAAATTAAGTTGTGGAGGTACAAAATGACTTTATCGATTGAGCAAGTTATAAGCCAAGCCTTTGGCGCGTAGCATGTCGGTTTGACGATTAGGCGGTGGTGGATGGGCCCCGGGTTCAAAGTTTTTCCCAAAATCAAAATTTTTGCA